CCGACTGCCAACAATGGTTCATTGTTCAATGGGAGCGGCCTCAAGGTCTTGTGTCTTCGCTATGACTGTCCCCACGCCAGCCCATCTCAGGCCGGGGCGACACCCCGCGGCCAGATATTAAGCCCTGGACAACGCCAGCGGCACAACTGTCACCTGAGACAGTAACTCCGGGTTTTGCACACAATAAAGACTCATTTGGGTGGCTTCCACATTAACGCCCTTCTTATTGTGCTCTTCCTTGGGGATTCCAATAGGCGTAATTAGACGGCGACACCACAGATGTCACCGTCACAACAGGGGAAAGGGTAACTAGTAAGAAAATGTAGAGGTAAAAAAGGATAAGCGTAAATACGGAGCATGACGTTCGAGCGCGCTAGTCGGCTTACGAAGCAGCGCACATTTTGAAAACGGTGTGTCGTAAAATGTCTAGAGAAGCAATAGCAACCGCAAATTTCCCGAAAATATAGCCAATCGCACAAGGCAAAAGCAAGGAGATTAGTAGGAGTTAGTGATGTCATAGAATTTCGAGACCTCTTATCCAACTACATACGGTCATTGCATATTAATGAGATAAAATCAACTGTCCAATTAAGTATCCCGTAGTCCATAAATACCTTAAATTCTTCTTTAAGACAAATCATAAACCAAAACCCCGTTTCCGTGGTGAAGACGGCACTGCTGCAATTTAACACAGCCGACAATCCTTACGGTACGCGTTGTATGATGATCACCGACAAGAAACAAGAAGATTAAACTGATGCTTTTGAAAGCGTAATTAAATCACCCGTGGTCAGCAGGCTTGGAAAAAGTCCGCCTTAGCACGCAAACACTGCTGCAAGTGGAACAGAAAGCCGGTAGCTGTGTGAGCGAAGTACATTGGTGTCGGACTCTTGAGCCATAAATAGTGACAAAGCAGGTACGCAGAAAACCTTATTAGGGACCCACGAAGTCAACTTGGATATTAAACAGGTCAGTTACAGTTGAGGACTACTAGACGACTCCAGAAGAGGCAGCGGTAAACCAGGCTTCTGCGTACAGGCTCAACCTGGTGTAGCGAAACCAAACAATACGACTGACATTAACAGCAATTAGTCTGCGGCAACGACTGTTGAAGACACAGAACAGGACCAGGACTCCACAGTGAAGGCAGATGAAAATGAGGAAAAGGCGAACAACAGATAAAATAAATCTCGAGATTGTTCATGTTCACGTTATTTACAGTACTGAGAGAGTTGTTGAACTACAGTTTAAACCAGTTGGGGGATGGTTAACAAAAAAAAGCTCTATTCCACACTTAATACCGTGCTCAGGTTGGAATCTGTTCACACAGAACGCCCAAGCTGACCGTCTATTCCGATATGTGCAAGAGACACTCGATGTGGTGAATGCCTATTAGACAAACTGAAAAAAAAAGTATGAAGAGGAAAAACAGCTGTCTCGGCAGCGGCACCGAAGCATAACCGGATTAGTTTAGTCTGAAAATCGAAGCCCCGAAAGCCTATTTTTTTATTATCTCCCACAAGTTACATTTCCAAAACGAATGGCAGTAAGGACGCAAGTTTTGTTATTTGGTTCTAGCCAGACATCGACGTAATTTATGCACGTGTTGTTTAGTTTTATCTAATATAATTTGCCACCAGAAAAAAATATAGCTGCGCATGACGTGATCTAGCAATCCGGGACCGTTATATATGATGCTGACATCGGCAGATTAAGTATCAAGTCCGACAGATAGAGATTTCACGAAGAATAGGGGGAATAAGGTGTATCGGCGATCAACACGTCTTCATTTGTTTGCACCTCTTATAGTCTCCCCAAAAGAACTGCTGTTATGCGTGTTACTCGTAGAATAAGCTCCCGTGGCTTTGAACCAAAGTCCGGGTAAAT